TCTCCTCTCTCTCTCTCTTCTCTCTCCTTTCAACTTGTTGCTAAAAAAAATCCTGCAGATAAAACTTTTAGATCAGGGGTGTCAAACTCAAGGACTTCATTTTATGTTTTGCAAGAGCTTGCAAAGAACATAATACGTTTATTATACGGTTAAATGCCGCTTTACAGAAGCACGTTGCCCATAAACTACATGTCCCACAATGCATCTCATTCTGTGAAATTGAGTTTGACACCCCTGAATTAGATTAATGTGTGTAGGAGCCAAAATGCTACATAGCCTGAGTTTATTATTTGTATTATTATGGTTTGTGTATTTAAAAGGGCCCTCAAGTCCCACCTATTTTCCAAGGCCTTATTTGTCTGACTGTTTGTCTGACTGTTTGTCTGACTGTTTGTCTGACTGTCTTTTGTGTTACTCCCGTATATCAGTAAAGCGGCCTTGGGTCCCTCGAAAGGCGCTATATGTAATCTATTATTATTATTACCTGTTACATGGCGGATGACAGAGGCTGAGCTTGCGCTGCCATTTTTTCTGTTGACCGTTTTGGCCCCTATAAGCTATTGTGTGTTTGATTTAGTTTATTAAATATCTTCAACCTATCGGACTTTCTCATTGAAAACGCGTCGCGGCGCAAAGTCAAGCTTAGCCTCTCGGCGACTCAAACTTAACGGGGAATTGAGCCGCCACAATATGAATAGTAACGTGTTTAAACACTCACGGGGGGTCCAGGAGTTCCAGGGAATCCGGCGATTCCGTCTCTTCCGGGTTTTCCAGTTTCTCCGTTAGGTCCGCGGGGGCCATTTCCTCCGAGTTCTCCTTTCACTGCTAAACCAAGATCGGGGTAAAAAGACGTTCCTTTCTCCCCCTTACGACCGTAGTTTCCGGATTCACCAGAACGACCCTGAAACAGGACAGAAATCACAGTTGAGAAACATACATTTTGGCTAAATTATGACACAATACTTCTGATTCACTACACTAAGAAAAGAATACCATTTTATTTTTCAAAACCTTTATTTTCTAGCCAATCTTGCAGAATATATGTCAAAAATAAAGTTATATTGTGGAGTGTGTACACTAGATGTATCAATAAGTATTGTAATTTTAATATAATAATATATAATAAGGCCGGGTTCAGCCAGAACGACCCTGAAACCGGACAGAAATCACTTTTGTGAAACATATATTTTGGCTAAATGATGGGTCAGCATTTCCCGGTAGAAAAGAAATGGTCCTTGTCGGTATTTATGTTCAACATGTAAGAAGTAGAAAGTACAGGTGTTTGTGTTCAACATGTAAGAAGTAGAAAGTACAGGTATTTGGGTTCAAAATGTAAGAAGTATAAAGTACAGGTATTTGGGTTCAACATGTAAGAAGTAGAAAGTACAGGTATTTGAGTTCAACATGTAAGAAGTAGAAAGTACAGGTATTTGAGTTCAACATGTAAGAAGTAGAAAGTACAGGTATTTGGGTTTCAACATGTAAGAAGTAGAAAGTACAGGTATTTGGGTTCAACATGTAAGAAGTAGAAAGTACAGGTATTTGGGTTCAACATGTAAGAAGTAGAAAGTACAGGTATTTGGGTTCAACATGTAAGAAGTAGAAAGTACAGGTATTTGGGTTCAACATGTAAGAAGTAGAAAGTACAGGTATTTGTGTTCAACATGTAAGAAGTAGAAAGTACAGGTATTTTGTGTTCAACATGTAAGAAGTAGAAAGTACAGGTATTTGGGTTCAACATGTAAGAAGTAGAAAGTACAGGTATTTGAGTTCAACATGTAAGAAGTAGAAAGTACAGGTATTTGAGTTCAACATGTAAGAAGTAGAAAGTACAGGTATTTGTGTTCAACATGTAAGAAGTAGAAAGTACAGGTATTTGAGTTCAACATGTAAGAAGTAGAAAGTACAGGTATTTGTGTTCAACATGTAAGAAGTAGAAAGTACAGGTATTTGGAGTTCAACATGTAAGAAGTAGAAAGTACAGGTATTTGTGTTCAACATGTAAGAAGTAGAAAGTACTGGTATTTGTGTTCAACATGTAAAGAAGTAGAAAGTACAGGTATTTGTGTTCAACATGTAAGAAGTAGAAAGTACAGGTATTTGGGTTCAACATGTAAGAAGTAGAAAGTACAGGTATTTGGGTTCAACATGTAAGAAGTAGAAAGTACAGGTATTTGGGTTCAACATGTAAGAAGTAGAAAGTACAGGTATTTGGGTTCAACATGTAAGAAGTAGAAAGTACAGGTATTTGAGTTCAACATGTAAGAAGTAGAAAGTACAGGTATTTGGGTTCAACATGTAAGAAGTAGAAAGTACAGGTATTTGGGTTCAACATGTAAGAAGTAGAAAGTACAGGTATTTGTGGTTCAACATGTAAGAAGTAGAAAGTACAGGTATTGGGTTCAACATGTAAGAAGTAGAAAGTACAGGTATTTGGGTTCAACATGTAAGAAGTAGAAAGTACAGGTATTTGAGTTCAACATGTAAGAAGTAGAAAGTACAGGTATTTGGGTTCAACATGTAAGAAGTAGAAAGTACAGGTATTTGAGTTCAACATGTAAGAAGTAGAAAGTACAGGTATTTGGGTTCAACATGTAAGAAGTAGAAAGTACAGGTATTTGTGTTCAACATGTAGAAGTAGAAAGTACAGGTATTTGGGTTCAACATGTAAGAAGTAGAAAGTACAGGTATTTGGGTTCAACATGTAAGAAGTAGAAAGTACAGGTATTTGTGTTCAACATGTAAGAAGTAGAAAGTACAGGTATTTGTGTTCAACATGTAAGAAGTAGAAAGTACAGGTATTTGGGTTCAACATGTAAGAAGTAGAAAGTACAGGTATTTGGGTTCAACATGTAAGAAGTAGAAAGTACAGGTATTTGGGTTCAACATGTAAGAAGTAGAAAGTACAGGTATTTGGGTCAACATGTAAGAAGTAGAAAGTACAGGTATTTGTGTTTCAACATGTAAGAAGTAGAAAGTACAGGTATTTGTTTTCAACATGTAAGAAGTAGAAAGTACAGGTATTTGAGTTCAACATGTAAGAAGTAGAAAGTACAGGTATTTGTGTTCAACATGTAAGAAGTAGAAAGTACAGGTATTTGTGTTCAACATGTAAGAAGTAGAAAGTACAGGTATTTGAGTTCAAACATGTAAGAAGTAGAAAGTACAGGTATTTTGTGTTCAACATGTAAGTATAAAGTACAGTATTGGGTTCAACATGTAGAAGTAGAAAGTACCGGTATTTGTGTTCAACATGTAAGAAGTAGAAAGTACAGGTATTTGGGTTCAACATGTAAGAAGTAGAAAGTACAGGTATTTGAGGTTCAACATGTAAGAAGTAGAAAAGTACAGGTATTTGAGTTCAAATGTAAGAAGTTAGAAAGTACAGGTATTTGAGTTCAACATGTAAGAAGTAGAAAGTACAGGTATTTGGTTCAACATGTAAGAAGTAGAAAGTACAGGTATTTGGTTCAACATGTAAGAAGTAGAAAGTACAGGTATTTGGGTTCAACATGTAAGAAGTAGAAAGTACAGGGTATTTGAGTTTCAACATGTAAGAAGTAGAAAGTACAGGTATTTGGGTTCAACATGTAAGAAGTAGAAAGTACAGGTATTTGGGTTCAACATGTAAGAAGTAGAAAGTACAGGTATTTGAGTTCAACATGTAAGAAGTAGAAAGTACAGGTATTTGAGTTCAACATGTAAGAAGTAGAAAGTACAGGTATTTGGGTTCAACATGTAAGAAGTAGAAAGTACAGGTATTTGAGTTCAACATGTAAGAAGTAGAAAGTACAGGTATTTGGGTTCAACATGTAAGAAGTAGAAAGTACAGGTATTTGTGTTCAACATGTAAGAAGTAGAAAGTACTGGTATTTGTGTTCAACATGTAAGAAGTAGAAAGTACAGGTATTTGAGTTCAACATGTAAGAAGTAGAAAGTACAGGTATTTGAGTTCAACATGTAAGAAGTAGAAAGTACAAGTATTTGGGTTCAACATGTAAGAAGTAGAAAGTACAGGTATTTGAGTTCAACATGTAAGAAGTAGAAAGTACAGGTATTTGAGTTCAACATGTAAGAAGTAGAAAGTACAGGTATTTGGGTTCAAAATGTAAGAAGTAAAAGTAAAAAGTCGTCAGAAAAATAAGTAGTGAAGTAAAGTACTGATACCAGAAAAATGTACTTAAGTACAGTCACAAAGTATTTGTACTCCACTACTTCCCACCTCTGGCTAAAATACAAATAATTGAACTTACGGGAAGTCCCTGATTGCCTCCAAAGCCAGGTGTGCCGCCATCTCCCAGCTCCCCCTTTCTTCCGGCGTATCCGGGGGTCCCGCTGGGTCCGGGCGGTCCCTGTAACCCAGGCGTTCCCGACGTTCCCCCCCCGAGGCAGGCGCAGTCTCCGGATTCACCTGCAGGACGATAGGATGAGAAGTGGGGAAAAAGACGAATAAAAGAGGAACGAGGGATGAGTGATGTGAGGATAAAGGCAATATATTATAAGAGTCTGTTCAATATATCTATTGTAGGACATGACGACACATTTAATCAAACCCTAAATCCTTTTACACATGATCAAGTACATCTCTAATATCTTAAAGGATAGCACTCTCTTTTTAAGGACAGCAGAGGAGCAACTTTAAAATAAATAGTAAGTAAATTAAATGTGAAATATATCTTCAACCTCAAAGAAACAAGTTATTAAATAATTTCTTGCAGAGACACAGATTTGATATATATTTCAGTGTGTGTGTGTGTGTGTACTGTATACGTGTGTGTACCTTTGTATCCATTGAATCCATTGTTGCCGGGCAGACCTCTAGAGCCGGGCAGTCCAGGCTGGCCGGGGTAAGCTATGGGAGCTGCAAACACACACACACACAATTAAATCACTTTTGCCACAAATATGACAAAAAAAATACAAAATAATATGAGTTATTTAGATTTCACACTGTTTGAACGTCAGCTGTAAGCTTGCACTGACTGATGAAAGATGTAAAAAAAAGAGAAATCTGTTAAATTCCAATAAAATAATAATTTATTTTACATATCTCTTCATCTAAAATGTAAAAATAAAATCTATTTTTGGGTTTTTACTTCAGTTTCCGTCACTTTTTACAATTAAATCCACAATTTTGCAGATTTTTTTAAGCAAAGATACACATAGATAATGTGACAAAATAAAAAGTGTTTTAAAGAAAACCCTTCAGCTTCAAGTTTTACTCTTATAGAACTAAGAGTAAAACAATTATACAAATCAGGAGTTACTTAAATCTCGCAGCACAGTGCAAACACAGCTCAGCGTCACAGTGTGAAATAAGCATTAGTTACTTTGTTCGGCATGGGATTTGAAAGCTGCTGTTGCAAGGTGACAGACGCTTCTTCAATAGCATTAACTTGTTTATCAGGTAATGAAATATAAAACAGCTTGGCACTTGTTTTCAGTGATTTTACATCGACTATAATGGCTGAGAGCTACTTGCCACAAGCAGCATGCATTAGCGCGTTGCAGCTGCACAAGCAAAGGAAATCAAACTGTTCTTTGTAATATCAAATCTTCCAAGCAAACTGAAATAAAAACACATTATTAACATATGGGGTTAGATTCGTGTCGATAATATTTGTGCGAACATAGAAATAATGTATGTGTGATTTGCAGTGGCGAACCGTGTCTATCACAAGTGGACCTTCTGTAGACACACCCACTTCTCGCCGCGGCATTATAATGTCCGTCTTTTCACTGAATTGTCGTCTTGAAAAGGGTACTCACAACAATTCCGCAACAACTTCACCTGTTGCACTTGTCATTTCAACGTTAAAAACAATAAAACGGTCCTCTGTCTCGAGCCAGTTACCTAGCGGGCCTTCTAGAATACCCTGGAACCGAGGGGAACTCTGAAAGAACACGCCCATTGGCTACAAATCAATATATGATTGGTTGATCAAACTGTCAGTCCAAACGTACGCTCTCATTCAGTGCAACGGCCAGGGCATTCGATCAAGGATGTAGAATACCTTGGTTGAAGGATATTCTACTCAGAGACCCAGAACAAGATCTGATTGGTTGCTTTCTTTTCTAACACAAAACCACTGAAATAAACGTCAAACACCTTCCACAATATTTTCACAAATAAAAAAAAAGGAATTTGTGAATCTCTCTCTAACATTGACAACTTTCGATCAGGCGTGAATCAATGTTGTATTTGTCAAATAAAAATGCGCTCGTGGATCTCAAATCTCTGTTTTGTGGAGCGTCTTCGTACAAATATAGTATTCACAGATCTTTTTCTTATTTGTAAACTAATTATAGTATTTGTCAGGGAATAATTTCCATAGATGTTGACCTTTTGCCCTCTGACGCATATGCCCAGCCTTGCATTAACTGTCGGTCAGAGATAGTTATTGTTGTGGGACACCTGGAGCATCCTTCTCGGGGTGTAGATGACCCGGAGCCATAAGCGACAACAACTGTGATTCAGTGTCCTCAGCTGTTTAGTCTAACTATTGAACAATGTTGATTATTACACTCTGAACTAGTTAAAACTTGGAGCTACAGGAGGGCTCTTCAGGATTGATTGTGGCATCTCAACCGTGTGGTCAGAGCCGTGACATGTCGTGTGAATTCTCCGGCCGAAGCTCCAAATAAACCGTCAGTGTTTGCCATCAAAGCTCCAGCTCTCCTCGTGCCTCTCTCTGAGTCCTGACTCCAATTGCTTCAGAAGTTTACCCCACACTATTCACAGATCTTTTTTTCATTCGTGAAAATATTGTGGAAGGTGTTTCCATCCATCCATCTTCTCCCGCTTATCCGTGGTCGGGTCTCGGGGGTAGCAGTTCCAGCAGAGAGCCCCAAACTTTCTTTTCCCTGGCGACATCAACCAGCTCTGACTGGGGGATCCCAAGGCGCTCCCAGGCCAGCCAAGAGATATAATCCTTCCACCTGGTCCTAGGTCTACCCCTTGGTCTCTTCCCAGCTGGACGTGCCTGGAACACCTCCCTAGGGAGCCGCCCAGGTGGCATCCTTACTAGGTGCCCGAACCACCTCAACTGGCTCCTTTCGACGCGAAGGAGGAAGGTGTTTTACGTTTACAAATCACACATTTACACACAAATAACTGTTATGTTCACACAAATATTATCGAGACAAATCTAACCCCATTTCATTAACATTATTTTCTTTCAGTTTGGTCGCTTTTTTAGCTTCATTTAAAGTCTTTGTTCGACAAAATAAAAGTCCCTTTTTTTTGCAAACGCTGCAGTTTTCTGCCGCTGCCATGCACTCAGTCCATGTAAAATCAGTGACTTACAGCGACACCTGGTGGCCAAAGATGGGAAAAGCAGCTTGAAGATGAGAGCGCCTCCCATTCAAGTCTGGAGAAGAGACTGCACTCTTCTGATCTATACTTACCACCGCAACCTCCACACAGAATATAGCGTTAAAATAAAAGCAGATAGCTTCTTTCCGGCCAGAAGTGGTTTTCAGGTTTTATTTTTGGCGGGCTGAATATTTCCATTATTGCGATTATGGCAATATGCCGTGTTTCTGATACCTGCCTTCGGTGGGAACCTCGGGGTAGATGATGCAGGGTTCATTGGCATTTCCTTGAAGGACAGTTATATCAGTCATTATGCACTCGTACTAAATGTTGGTTCATTTCAATACCTTTTAAGAATTGATGTGCATTGTTTTTATGCATTTTACTCTGTTTTCTTTGCCTATATGTTTTTTCAGGCTAGAGGTGGGTTTCTATCTGTCCTAAAAAACAACAACATATTATATAAAAACAAGTCAGCCATGATGCTTTAAAGTCTATAGATATAGATAGATAGATAGATAGATAGATATAAAGATAGATAGATAGATAGATAGATAGATAGATAGATAGATAGATAGATAGATAGATAGATAGATAGATAGATAGATAGATAGATAGGTAGATAGGTAGGTAGGTAGATAGGTAGGTAGATAGGTAGATAAATGGATAGATAGGTAGATAGATAGATAGGTAGGTAGATAGATAGGTAGATAGGTAGATAGGTAGGTAGATAGGCAGATAGATAGGTAGATAGGTAGACAGATAGGTAGATAGGTAGATAGATAGGTAGATAGATAGGTAGATAGGTAGATAGATAGGTAGATAGGTAGATAGGTAGGTAGATAGGTAGATAGATAGGTAGATAGATAGATAGATAGGTAGATAGATAGGTAGATAGATAGGTAGATAGATAGGTAGATAGATAGGTAGATAGGTAGATAGATAGGTAGATAGATAGGTAGATAGGTAGATAGATAGATAGATAGGTAGATAGATAGGTAGATAGATAGGTAGGTAGATAGGTAGATAGATAGATAGGTAGATAGATAGGTAGATAGATAGATAGATAGGTAGATAGATAGGTAGATAGGTAGATAGATAGGTAGATAGATAGATAGGTAGATAGATAGGTAGATAGGTAGATAGATAGGTAGATAGATAGGTAGATAGGTAGATAGATAGATAGGTAGATAGATAGGTAGGTAGATAGGTAGGTAGATAGATAGGTAGATAGATAGATAGATAGGTAGATACTGTTTTGATCCCTAGCTTTTTTAATTCAATTAGCTTTTACGGCTGGTAAAACAACTAAACCTATGTTTTAAGGTGTTTTTAATTAATACAATATGAATATAACACATTTAATTAATTCTGCTCATTTCGTACAACAAATCACGCTTTCTCACAAACACAAGAACATGTTCAAATCATGCTAAAAAATGTCCTGTGAAAGAATTTGAAAGTTGTTTTTGTGTGAACATACTAATAGGGCCTTGCACTCTGGAGGGTCCCGGGGGTCCGGGGAGGCCAGAGGATCCGGGGAGGCCAGAGGATCCGGGGAGTCCTTCAGAGCCATATCCTGGTATTCCTGCGTTTCCCTTCTCTCCTGTTGGGCCGCGGGTCCCGGGATTACCTGGGGATCCGTTACCTGGATACGAGAGCAAAGGAGACGATTGGTAAATGGATATTTGGATGTAAAAATCAACCCATTGCATCTTGCTTATTGATGATTTAAGTGGTTTGTTGGCCTTATATACATATAGGGGTGATTTTAAATTTTGAGGTTGCATTTTATCAAAGAACATCTTCAAATTGAGTCAATTTCTTCCTCCATGCAACGCAGATTAATGCTTTATCTAATTAGCAGGCTAGCAGATATTAACGCTAACCTTTCCACGAGGAATAGAATAAATCAGCTAATATTATTATTGATGATTTAAGTGGTTTGTGGGCCTTATAGAATATATAGCGGTAATATCTGAGGTTTTATCATTTAAAGAACATCTACAAATTGACGCCATTTCTTTATTTTTGTAACACACTGGGTGTTTCTCAATGTCAACGAAGGATGCTCCAGAGCCACTATTTCAAGGATGCTACGTCATCGAGTGCCGCCGAAGGACTGTTCCAATGTCCAGCCTCCTTGGAATTCTACAGAGCACGGCATCCTTCGTAGCGAGAAATTTCGAGGCTGCACATGTGTATCCTCCGCGGTCTTAAAATCCCCACAATGCTTTGCGCACGGACCAATTTCCAAAATCTGTGGTGGAAAATGTAAGGCGGGGCCTCGCATATGATGCACACCTGCACACTTAATAGCCTGTTCCATTCTTCGTACTCCGAATGCCAGGAAGGATTCTTGCCTCGCTTCTGAAGGACCTGACTCGGAAGACTTGTCCTACCAAGGAAGCGTCCTCGACATTGAGAAACACCCATAGACTGATGCATCTTTTTATAATTAGCAGGCTACCACTCACCTTTTACCAAGGAATACAATAAATCATCTCAGATTAATTCACAAGTAACACCGAAAGGACAGAGAACATTACACATATTTACAGCTTTTTGTTTCAAATTAATTCTTGAATTATCATATTAGCATAACAAAAACATTTGGCCATTTTTAGCCACTCTGCTCCAAGCTCCGAGTCTTTAAGGAGCTGAACAAGTGATATTTTATAGACATTTACAGTTAAAAAACACATAAACACACTGGCTTTTATAATGATTAAGTGTTTAATAACTGTGTGGTTTTAATATTATTACTTATATGAATTATCTCTCTTCACCTTTTTGATTTTCTTTAAAGAAAAATAACATTTTACCATGCATTAGTTGTTACACAAATTAAAGCGCTTTAATTATTGGAGACTGCTGTTTTGAATGCATTGACAAATGTTCCATACAGTTTGTGTGATTGTGTTCATTACCTGTCCCATAACCAACAATTCCTGGAGGTCCTGGGGGTCCGGGGTATCCCAGAGGTCCGGGGTCACCAGAGGCACCGGGCAGCCCGTTGAGACCCGGGTCACCTGACTCTCCTGCAGCCAATCAGAGAGAAGAGACATTTAGCACAGGACACTTTCACATACTAAACAATACCTCACAGTTTATCAGTGTTATTAGCAGAGATGGCAAAAGTACACACATCCTTTACTCAAGTAGAAGTACAGATACTCGTGTTTAAAAATACTCTGGTGAAAGTAGAAGTACTGACTAAACTTCTTTACTCAAGTAAAAGTAAAGACTTTGAAATGTACTTCAGTAAAAAGTACCCATAACTAGCAGCTGTTTTAAAGAGTACCTGACCTCCCTTTATATTAATAGAACAATAATGTCATTGTTAGCTAATGAATGTTTCCATGCTGAACAACGGCAACATGACAACGTTTCCATTGGTCCCTCTTCTTTAGAGAAGACCAGGAAATGATGGATACACGGATCGTGTTCAAATCAATAGGCACGCAATGACTCTAAAGAATAATGATCACGCACCAAACACACATTCAGACTAAAGGAACCAGCCTGTTTGGAAAATGAGAGAAGTAGAAAGTACAGGTATTTGAGTTCAACATGTAAGAAGTAGAAAGTTCAGGTATTTGGGTTCAACATGTAAGAAGTAGAAAGTACAGGTATTTGTGTTCAAAATGTAAGAAGTAAAAGTAAAAAGTCGTCAAAATAAGTAGTGGAGTAAAGTACTGATATCAGAAAAATGTACTTAAGTACAGTAACGAAGTATTTGTACTCCACTACTTCCCACCTCTGGTTATTAGATCTATTAAATTATGAATATGGATGATGTGTCACCTTGAACAGTAGCGCCCAGATCACTAATGAAGGCTGGGGGTCCTGGTGCTCCGGGGTCTCCCTGCTCACCCTGTTAGGGACAAACAACACATTTACAAATTTTAAATTGTATTTAACATATTTGTTGTTTTGAATGAAGTGCTAAAATATGCAGGAATCAGCCTTAAAAAGGGATAACTTCTTACTGAAAGAGAAGAGAGAAGATCGATACCACCCCCGCTAGCTTCAGGAGCCTTTTAGCTTAACATTAGCTTAGCATTAAGGATGGAAACAGGGGGACTATTTAACAAAAGTTATACTTATTATCAAGTTATATCTCTTTTGTTTAATCTGCCCAAAAAACAGACAGTAAAACAGACGTTTTGTGGTTTTATGGAGTTGTTACTGCTAAACTCCTTTAAGCTAAAGGTCAGCTGTTAGCTTCATGGTTAGCTTAGCCTACTCTTCACCAGTAAGCAATTTGAACTCATTAAATTAAACCTATTGCCATCACAGAAACAAAATAAATACATAATGACCTTTAAACAACATAATGCTAAATATGAAGTAAATTATCGATGTATAACTGGGTAAACAGTAAAGTGTGTTTCTTCATTAGCTTCCCCAAATGTAACATTCATTTAAGAAACACTGGCACCATCTTCTGGTAAGACAAGGTTATTGAACACAAACTATGTAGACTCCACGCTTAGTTAAGTGTTTATTCTCGTAAGTTTTACGGTATGACGTTGAGTGTGTTCACACTGGAAACATTGTAAATACTGTATGCAGAAAGGTCCCAATTTGATTCCAATGAGGTCTCCATCTACAGTATCTATCCATATGGAATTGAGACACAGCAAAAAACTGTATGTCAACAGGAAGTGTAAGCAAACACACAATAATTGTACCTTTCCTCCGATGTATCCCGGTTGCCCGATGAAACCTGGAGTTCCTCTAAGTCCCTGTATCAGAAGATAAAATAAATCAGGTATGCATTTTTTCACAACCAAGGTTTATTAATCAAGGAAAGCTTAATTATATATGAAATATTTGTAATATAACCAAAGTTGTGCTTATATAGGAAAATAATGGCATTCTTACCATATTTAAGTATTATCTTTTATTATTCTAATTTAAATTTGGCAGAACGTTATGCTTCTGATTCCCTATATTTACGAATGAAAGATTACTCATTTAAAAAGAAAAAAACCTTTACTTTCTAGCCAATTTAGCAGAATATATGCAAATAAAGGGTCTAATGCGGCACAAAAGAAGTATGATGTGCAGTAGATGTAACAATACATATGATAATGTTAATATAATAATAATGTCTGTGAGAGGAGAACATTTTGACTTTTGATACCAAATCATAATTCATGCATACATTGTGGTATTGCTCCTAACGTCTAATAGTTAAATAACCACTGTAGGACATTTTTTAAAATCTAGTTTAACCCAGTATTAATCTGTGAGTTAACTGGTCCTGTAGCAAGTAGCACAACTAATGTTGTCATAGTGGTACAGTTTTAAAGATCATAATTTTAGCTCGTCAGTTCTTGAATATTTTGTGGTAACAGTTTTAGCCTACCAATTGTCCGGGATATCCAGGAGTCCCGTTCAAACCAGGAGCACCCTGTTTGGCAGAATCAAAAACGACATCCACCACAGAAGAAGAAGGAAAGGAAAGGTAAGAGATGTGTTTGACCACAGTAAAAGCTATGCTTAAGTGTACATTTACCCATAGAAGAAGAACATTGTAAGGAATTTCCACTTATGTTGAGGTTAGGGGAAGATTCATAAAACAAAAGGCCACATTTTTTACTTCTGTGAATGAAATAGGTGTAATAAAGTCGTAGCTCTTACTCTTGCTCCGGGGTATCCAAGAATTCCCTTCTCTCCGGGTTCTCCACCAAAGCCAAAAGGTCCCTGGATTTAAGTAAAAATACAGATTAGTAAATATCACTTAATGTGGATTTATCTCATATTTTGCATGTTCGGCATTTTCTCACAGCAGTTTTTATTGTACAAAAACGTCGTAGAAAATCAAAGGTTCTTGGGAAAATAAATCACATAAGGTTTTAAAAGTGTTTTAAAGAAGTCAGTCTGCTTGGGGATCTTTTTCTTTATAGACACATGGAAATATATCTTATGATTGTTTATTAATCTGCCAATTGGAAGTAAATCCAGAATAGAAGAGGATCTAGTAGACAGCCTTGAGGAACGCCTTAAACACTTACAGGTTGACCAGGATTTCCAGGAAATCCTCTTATTCCCTTTGGAGCAGATGTACCCTTTAAGCAAAGCGGAGAGAGAAGAAAAGTGGTCATAAGTGCAGAATCATTTTGAAACTATAAGCAATATTTACACATTTTAACTTACCTTTACAAGTCTGTGGAAACTGTGAAATCTCACTCAAAAGAAAGGCGATAACAACCAAAACTACGCCGCTGATGTAGGCATTAACTCCTTAAAAATACATTATGTTGGGCTCGAAAAGCTGAGGAAACCAGGGTGGAACAGTCAGATTATCACGTCTATAATGTTAGCATCAAGGTGATAACTAATGTAAATAGTGGGCATTTCAATTGAACTGACCTATTGCTTTTAGTACTTTTGATTCAACTTTTTTTTGCCAATTTCTTCATTTTCTAGCAGCTACTGGACATTTTTCAGTGTAAACAGTAATTACACTTTCACCAATACAGTGAACCTTTGAATCCCTTTATCTCAAAGTCACGTCATCATGTTGGATTTGAAAGATAACGCAGGGAGATAAGAGGACACACTGCTGTATTTGTCCATGTTCAACACAGCTCATCCTATTTGGGGAAGAAGTCGCGTTTTTCAACAAACCTGTAGTCCTTTGTCTCCTTTGGGAAAACCCACAAACTCCACAATACCATCGATCAACGGCTGGCCGGGTTCACCGGGTGAGCCCGCGTCGCCCTGGATGTCGTAATCGAGGGAAGAGATATCTGTTTACTCTGATCACGAGGTGGCGAGGGAAACGGCGGAATAAGGAGGGGTAAAGCGGCAGAGTTTTTTGGGCATTCAGGGAAGATATAGGGAAGGTGGGGGTACGTTGACTGGAGGACGGGCTCTGTTTTCACTGTGGAGCCACTTAAGAGGTTGTGAACGGACTGAGGAAATATTGGGGTGATGATGAGAGACTGGTCTCTGGATGAAACATTTTCAAAATGTAAGAAACTCTGGAGCCAGAAAGGATCCGATTGGTTGAGTTACACATCAATGGAAGGAGTTTTGTGTGTAGTTTTGGTTTTTGGACAATATTTCAATGCACTACTTCTTATTTTCTTGTATTTCTAATGAGGGAAGCCTTTATTTTGGTACGTTAAAGGGCTATTGAACTATTGCATAAAGACTAGTTTTGACAAAAAATCCAAATACTTGGTGATTATGAAGTTTTCAACCAGACTTTAAGGTTTAAATTCTGCATTTGGGCAACTCCATATGATGAGGATTATCAGGATTAATGCTACGTTGGACCAACCTCTCCTCCAGCTCCCAAAGTCTCCTTCTCACAGTTACTCCATGGCTCTTAAGTTTGCTGCAATCACTGCTCCTCTTTCGTTTTTAACCTTTAGTTTCTGCCTGCTGTGGTATTCTCTTTCTTTGCACCACGTTTTGTAATGAAATCCCATTGTGAATGTGTGTGTGTGTGTTAGTGTGTGTGTGTTTGTTCCTATCCTTCCCTTGGCTGTGTTACCTTATCTCCTTTGTAGATAGTGAGAGTTTGTTCGCTTCTTAGCGAGCCGTCGCCCGGAGTACCGCTGGGTCCGGGAAGACCCACGTCGCCCTGGAGTCCGAAATACACACAACACACCGTTAGCCAATGAGGAGGGGCGCAGGGGAAACAGGAAGTGGGAATGAGAGATACTTGGATAGATAGATAGATAGATATATAGATAGATAGATAGATAGATAGATAGATAGAGAGATAGAGAGATAGATAGATAGATAGATAGATAGATAGATAGATAGATAGATAGATAGATAGATAGATAGATAGATAGATAGATAGATAGATAGATAGATAGATAGATAGATAGGTAGATAGATAGATAGATAGATAGATAGATAGATAGATAGATAGATAGATAGATAGATAGATAGATAGATAGATAGATAGATAGATAGATAGATAGATAGATAGATAGATAGATAGATAGATAGATAGATAGATAGATAGGTAGATAGATATAGATAGATAGATAGATAGATAGATAGATAGATAGATAGATGGATAGAGAGAGAGAGCTCAGGGATACTTTATCTTGAGTTTCTTGGTGATTTAAAGACATTTTAGCCCCTTTTTTCTCTCCAACAGTTAAAAAAGTACAACTTGAATTTTAATTTGCCAACAAAAACTTATCCTAACATGAAATCCAGCTGTTTCTACATTCAGTTTAACCCTAAATCTTACTGAGTTTAGTGTTTTGGTTGAGTATCACATGCATGCAGTGTGTGAGGGAGTTGATGTGTTAGTACTCTTTTGTGTTACTGTTTGAAATCAGATGAGTGGGTGGATGGAGGTTGAGAGCAAGCAAATGAACCGCATATCCCAGAATTCACCAGCAGATGCCCAAATGTGATTAAAGACGGGGGTGAAGTGCATCATGGGAAGTAGGAGCGAGTGATTCCAGCAACCCAGTTACCACAGATCGTCCTCCCATGACAGCTCAGAGATCTCAAAAATGAAGTTTTATTTGTGTATTAAGGAGATTGTTTATCTGTAATGACGCCCAATGCAAGGTGATTCATGGCCAAATCAAGACCGGATGTATTTTGCTTAAATATGTGATATTCTTTTCCAATTTTGGAGAAAAACTTCAGTAAGAAAAGTCTCTGAACTGTCATTCAACAGTGAGGGAAACAGGTGTGCAGCACCACTGATCGAGTCACAAACAAAGTAGATTTTTGGGGTATTTAACAATAATTTGAAGTGCCAACTGACTCCATATCGGACATAAAAAGTTGTGCAAATCTCAGTCTGTTGTGACTTGTCCCAGTGGCAGCACACGGATCATTTGAAAGAACAAACCAGACTGAATCAAGTAGAGGTTCATGTTGTCTTTTATCAAACAGGAAACAGATGCAACAAACAGTTCAGTAGTTGTGTAAATAAAAACATGGAGAAAGGAAGAGGAGGAGGGATGCAGGGAGGGGTGGGGTTAAATAAAAGGATGGATGGAGGGTAAATACATGTGGGTTGGACGGAAGAAGAGCAGGATGTAAAGGCAACACCAGTCAGAATGAAACATGCACACTATAATGTCCGTCATCATAAAACACAGAAATGCAAACACACATACGGATAGAGCTCTCTAACTAAGCCTGCTTTTTTCTAGGCTCTATAGCTGAGAGGGATAACGTATAGAAATCACAACATTTTACTATAAAATAACTATCTATTTAATGCATTGTCATTTCTCAGGTGGGAATTAAAACCATCCAAAAACAATGCTTGGTAAATAGCAGGTTAACTATCGACAGCAAACTTTCCATATAGTTTAATATAAATAATATCATCTTCTAGTGTCCAAGACTAAGAACTTTGTGCGTTCAAGAATTAAAAAAAGACTTGGGGATGTTTCTTATTGACCAACTGCATTCACTCAATTGGTCTTATGTGTGTGTGTGTGTGTGTGTGTGTGTGTGTGTGTGTGTGTGTGTGTGTGTGTGTGTGTGTGTGCGTGTGTGTGTGTGTGGTGTGTGTGTGTGTGTGTGTGTGTGTGAATAAATCTCTACAACTGAATGAGTCTACGTGCATCATACCTTGTCTCCTTTCTCTCCTTCATATCCGTCACTGCGGCTCCCCTGAAAACAGCAAGGGTTAACAAAATGCACTTGGAAGCACAACAACAACAACAACAACATTAAAAGGATGAAATGTATTGCATTAATATAATATAATTAATCAATGTGCTTCATTATTTGACTTACCATTGGCCCTGGGAGACCGGGAGGACCAGGTGGGCCCTAAAGACAGACGAGAGAATCAGGAATAATATTCACTCTAATGAAAGAAATGAAAACTAACAATGTTTTAATTCCTATTCATGCTTTTCAAAATCTGATAATCATCTAACAAATATAACATTTTCACATTTAATAGCATTTGTATTGATAATAATAACAGTATATTACAACATACAAACACAAAATTCATATTATTTACTATTTAAAGTGAAAGAGATGAATGTACGTACAGAGTATCCCTCGGGCCCCATTGGACCGGGGTAACCGGACGGACCCTCAGGACCTCTGATTCCCTGCAGAGAAACACAACCATACAAACATTAAGGACAACACATTAAATCCTCAGGTGTTTAATTCTGTATTAATGATCATTTGTGGTTGCATAGCAAGAAGAAGTAAGCATCTTACAGGTTGACCGTTTGGTCCTGGATAACCTGGTGAACTCTAAAAAGGGGAAAAGAAACACAGATTAATTAATAAACAAGACTCAAAATCCTCTTAATTACATTTTAAATAAAATAATGAAATACATATCTTCAAATCAAAATACAGGAACATTCGTGTACACATTAGAGTCATGCAAAGTTGTATCGGTGACTCAAAAGTCACTTTGCTTTTGCAATACAATGTTACAGTACTGTCTCTATAGCGCCATCTAGTGGCCAAACCTAATATGACAGGCTGTTCAGACCCTGTTCAAGTACAATGCAGCTGCACCATGAGAGGTAACAAATATGAGAATAGAAGTTACACAAAAATAGCAAATATATTAAAAAAAAGTCAATTCTAATGTGTTTTTTATGGCTCATCTTAATATGTATTGTACACATTTGTGCAGATCAATATAACGTTAACTTATTATGTTTATATATATATAAGAATTTTCTACTGTTTTTGTTTCAATAAACATTATGCAATTTAATTGTTTTAACTTGCTATTTTATATGAATATTTGTATACTATATTATTTAATTGTTTTTGGGAAATCTTTTACTTTAACTTGTTGTGTTTTTATAAATATTTGTATTCTTTTTTATTACACATTTTCTTGAGAACTTCTCATATTTATAAGAATATTATACATTGTAATATTGCAAATGTATACTTTGACTTCATAGTTTGCATAAATACTTTAATTTAATGTTATTTTTGTGTATTATTTTATTCTATAAAATCAAGCAAAACCCCAATTTTCCCTCTAGATCAGGGGTTCTCAAAGTGCGGTCCGCGGGCCAATGGCGGCCCTCGGAAATGTTTCTGGCGGCCCGCGATAGTTAATGTGACACGCTGAAATGCATGCGTTATATTTTAATCCTCCATGGTTGTATCTAGTAAGAATTAGAATGGAATTTAAGAATGGTAAAATTGCGCCCCCTGGGTTGTCATTCCTAAATTATGAATGACAGCTTGTGGAAAGTTTGCTAGACTACTGGTTGCATGGCAACTAGACATCTCGCGAGTTGCGGTAATTGGTTAGTACAATAAAGAAAGGATTTGTTTTGGAATTATTTTGCGTTCCGTTTTTTCTTGGGCGGCCCTCAATCCAATATCGGGTACCTAAATTGGCCCTCACTCATCAAAACTTTGAGAACCCCTGCTCTAGATAAACAAACTAATCTGATTCTGATCATGATTATTATTAAATCGTACACAAACAAATATTATCCTCAGTTCTTTAGGTCCAGAAATACATTAAAAAAAGAGTAAAGTGTGAAAATAACCGTGGAACCGTCGTCCGAGATGTATCGAGGGTCTCCTTTCTGACCCTTCGGCCCAAAAGGCCCCTGTGTGAGGAAAAGAATCATCAGTACAAATCTACAGTAACATCTGCATTCCTTACATAATGACATCCAGACATCTACACATCCAGACATCTACACATATATATAATAAGTCATAAAAGAGAGTAGGTTTGTCCTCACAGAGAGTCCAGCGGGTCCGGGCGCTCCGATCCCGTAACCGGGGTCTCCGGCTTCTCCTCTCGTCCCGTTACAGCCGTCCAGTCCAGAGGGTCCTCTTCCCCCGTCCAGACCGGGGTGACCCTGCAGAGGAAGAGGGGGTTAGAGTTACATCTTGAACATGAATTAGGTTTTTTATCCTTATACACACTGACAGCATAACATACACTACAACACAAAAATACTAATTGAAGGCACATTTTGTGTCAAAACAACAACATATACGGCAATCATCTTTAAAAAATGAAGAAAAGATTGACTGTTTTATAGTTTATATGTATTACAATAATATCTGTGTGTCAGAATAAACGTCATATCAGAAAATACAGACAACAAATGGAAATAGACTGACCTTTAGTCACAGATTATTAACCAACAAAACGACTACATTTTTAAGATTTGTTTTTTTTAAAGCATGATACAGTTGTTTAATTTCTGTATATTTATTATTGCATATCCTGCTGTTTTACCATGAAAGGGGCTACATCTGCAATTTCACTTTTTTTAAGCACACAATTAAATAGTTTATTTTAAAAATCAAAATAAAAGATGTTAGCTGTCCGTTGATAAAATAATCTATAGCTATTCTTACTCTAAATGGCCTCAAACGATCCTTTATATTTAATTTAACCACTTCTTAAATACTCTGCATATTGAGTGTGTGTGCGTGTGTGTGTGTGTGTGTGTGTGTGGCCTAGCATTATTATACTTGTGGGGACCTAAATCTGTTTACACAGTCATGTGTGGGGACTCGCCTCCCTTATGGGACAAAATGGAGGTCCCCATAAGGGGAATCATTAATTTTAGGGTGAAGACTTGGTTAGGGTAAGGGTAAGGTTAAGGGTAAGGGTAAGGTTAAGGGTTAGGCATGTGTTGGTTATGGTTAAGGTTAGGATAAGTCTCCAGGAAATGCATGTAAGTCAATGTAATGTCCCCTGAAGTGATGTATACATGGTATGTGTGTGTGTGTGTGTTTACTTACAGGTACTCCATCAGTTCCCCGGAACCCAGGCACTCCCATAGGCCCCTGTTTGAGTACATATTAAATATAGTTAAATCACGATCATATTAAACGAGAACACATATAAATGAAAACACATTCAGTCAGTTTTAGTCATGAATTACAATCAAGTTCATATTTAAATTCAGATAATGAACGTCATGGTCTTTAACACCCACCTTGTCTCCTTTCTGGCCAGATGGTCCTTTATATCCGATGTGGCCCTTCTCTCCTTTGGGCCCTGAGGGTCCCGTTCCCCCCCGAGGACCCTCAGGTCCGCTCGAACCCGCTTCTCCAAGATGCCCTGGACGACCCTGAGGGAAAAGAAACAAAACGGTCACTTTTTAAATGAATACTGAAGAATAGACAAGCAAAACTGCCATTTGTATTAATCGTGAAGCTCTATTTCACAACAAATCATCCTAAAGGCTAAAAGGAGGCAAATAGAAAAAGATCTTGAGGTACATGTTGAATAATAAGTGATTTAAAGCCTCTCCATTATGAAGATGTGATAATCAAAGATAAGATTAAGAAGTACTTTATTGATCCCAATTCGGGAAATGTTGGCATTGTACATTAGAGAAATTAAAAGACTGGAAATGAACTATTAAAAATGTAAAAAATGGGGAAACACAAATTGTTGGGGCAGCCATTTTGGATCTGATGGGTATGTTTACATGAAAAACAAGTCAGGGCGGGAAACCCAGCTGGTTGGTGGAGCAGTTTGTGTGGGCAAGCAGCAACATGTGGACTAAGAAGGTGGTCTGGAAGAAAAACTGCAACTGGGGGTAAAGAAGCAGGATTTGGAGAAATGTATTAAAGGGGTCCTATTCTGCTCATTTTCAGGTTCATATCAGTATGTAGTGTCTCTACTTTAAAGAGTCCTCTCCTGCTGATGTTCAGGTGTATATCAGTATTTAGTGTCTCTACTTTAAAGAGTCCTCTCCTGCTGATGTTCAGGTGTATATCAGTATGTAGTGTCTCTACTTTAAAGAGTCCTCTCCTGCTGATGTTCAGGTGTATATCAGTATGTAGTGTCTCTACTTTAAAGAGTCCTCTCCTGCTGATGTTCAGGTGTATATCAGTATGTAGTGTCTCTACTTTAAAGAGTCCTCTCCTGCTGATGTTCAGGTGTATCAGTATGTAGTGTCTCTACTTTAAAGAGTCCTCTCCTGCTGATGTTCAGGTGTACATCAGTATGTAGTGTCTCTACTTTAAAGAGTCCTCTCCTGTTGATGTTCAGGTGTATATCAGTATGTAGTGTCTCTACTTTAAAGAGTCCTCTCCTGCTGATGTTCAGGTGTATCAGTATGTAGTGTCTCTACTTTAAAGAGTCCTCTCCTGCTGATGTTCAGGTGTATATCAGTATGTAGTGTCTCTACTTTAAAGAGTCCTCTCCTGCTGATGTTCAGGTGTATATCAGTATGTAGTGTCTCTACTTTAAAGAGTCCTCTCCTGCTGATGTTCAGGTGTATATCAGTATGTAGTGTCTCTACTTTAAAGAGTCCTCTCCTGTTGATGTTCAGGTGTATATCAGTATGTAGTGTCTCTACTTTAAAGAGTCCTCTCCTGCTGATGTTCAAGTGTATATCAGTATGTAGTGTCTCTACTTTAAAGAGTCCTCTCCTGCTGGTGTTCAGGTGTATATCAGTATGTAGTGTCTCTACTTTAAAGAGTCCTCTCCTGCTGATGTTCAGGTGTATATCAGTATGTAGTGTTTAAAGAGTCCTCTCATGCTGATGTTCAGGTGTATATCAGTATGTAGTGTTTAAAGAGTCCTCTCCTGCTGATGTTCAGGTGTATATCAGTATGTAGTGTCTCTACTTTAAAGAGTCCTCTCCTGCTGATGTTCAAGTGTATATCAGTATGTAGTGTCTCTACTTTAAAGAGTCCTCTCCTGCTGGTGTTCAGGTGTATATCAGTATGTAGTGTCTCTACTTTAAAGAGTCCTCTCCTGCTGATGTTCAGGTGTATATCAGTATGTAGTGTTTAAAGAGTCCTCTCATGCTGATGTTCAGGTGTATATCAGTATGTAGTGTTTAAAGAGTCCTCTCCTGCTGATGTTCAGGTGTATATCAGTATGTAGTGTCTCTACTTTAAAGAGTCCTCTCCTGCTGGTGTTCAGGTGTATATCAGTATGTAGTGTCTCTACTTTAAAGAGTCCTCTCCTGCTGATGTTCAGGTGTATATCAGTATGTAGTGTCTCTACTTTAAAGAGTCCTCTCCTGCTGATGTTCAGGTGTATATCAGTATGTAGTGTCTCTACTTTAAAGAGTCCTCTCCTGCTGATGTTCAGGTGTATATCAGTATGTAGTGTCTCTACTTTAAAGAGTCCTCTCCTGCTGATGTTCAGGTGTATATCAGTATGTAGTGTCTCTACTTTAAAGAGTCCTCTCCTGCTGATGTTCAGGTGTATATCAGTATGTAGTGTCTCTACTTTAAAGAGTCCTCTCCTGCTGATGTTCAGGTGTATATCAGTATGTAGTGTCTCTACTTTAAAGAGTCCTCTCCTGCTGATGTTCAGGTGTATATCAGTATGTAGTGTCTCTACTGGGACGTGTTTCCATGCTTTAATGTTCAAAAAGCTCTTTATTTCTCTCATACTGTCTGTGCTGCAGCACCTCTTTTCACCCTCTGTCTGAAACTAGAGCCCAGTCTGCTCTGATTGGTTAGCTGGCGGCTTTGTTGTGATTGGTCAACTGCTTAGAGATGTCCGGCCCCTTATCACGTGCAATGTGTTGTAGCGATAGCCAATAGGAGCACAAGTGTTATTAAGTAAACAAAGGAGTGCAATCAGGCAGGTTTCTGATAGCTTTAGATACTTATTTAAATGACATTTGTATCCCTCTCATCTCCAATTAAACCCATGTATCTCCAGAGGTTTTCAGATGTTGTATTTGGATATTTAGAGGTAAAAGTCAGATGTAAAGCTTTTATCTTGTAATGACTGAGTTTATGCTGCAGGTAAAAGGCTGCAATACCCATTTGAACCTCATGATGGCAGTAGAAAAACTAAAAGGAAACATAAGCAGGTGGATGAGCAGAGGAATCCCTGCAGAGACGCACATTAACACGGCAGCCTCGACGCCTCACAACCTGCTATTAGCTCGTATTTTAGGCGGTATAACAGGGTAGGGAGGAGGGGGAGAGGGGGAGAGAGGGACACATGTCTGACGTTCGGGTCAAAGGGAAGTCACAGGATTTGGTTTTCAGTGTTGTAACTTATTTTATTTAAGGCAGTAAAAACATTTGTTTATTTGCTTCTTGACGAAGGTTAAATGTTTGACAGCTTTTATTTTGTGCTTTCTCTTTCCTGTTATGATTTGAAATGAATACGAGTATGTCGAGTGCATTTTCCCCGTCTTCTACCGTTCTTGTTGGAACTGTTATATTCATATAAAGTAAATATGGCTTTGTTCTTCATTCAAAGCTTCTATTACGCAACATTCAGAGCCAAAAAGTGACTCCGAGAAGCTCTGATAAAACACAAGTTTTCATGAATTTATTGTACTTTGAAAACTGGGATATGAACGGTTTTGTTTAAAGACGTTACACAGTTATGTTAAATATGGAAGTAAGCCCGTGCTGCAGATGTATTTTCTACATTTATGAGAAATGTATAGAGCTTAGATGCCTGTATACGCTTGCATGCATGCACGTGTATGACTACATATTCCTTTTAAATCCTTACTACTGCATCCTTATCATAAATCTTAAATACTTCCCCCTTAACTTAAAACTATATGCACACACATTAAGTATATAGGCACATGAAAACCCTTCATTACACACAAGGTAAAAGGTCACACACTAAACTAAACGAAAGGTAATTCTCGACGCAACACCTGGTGCTTTTCATATATAAGTGCTCCGCCTGCAGACACAGGACTTTAATAATGGATCTAACATTAGAGGACATCACGGAGAAGGTCAAATACTGCTTGTATACAATAATTTGATTTTGCCTACGGGGTGTAACAGACGGGTGGAGTTTATAGCATCCGGACCATTTAGATAAGGTACAAATACATTCTTGAGACTAATTGGGATGTTTTATCCTGTATGCCAAATCACGGGACACCTATGATGCTCAAATCAGTCAATCAACAAGGTTGTTAAATACTATAACAATAACAAGTAAAGTGTGTAGCACCAAAAAGCACAATACTTTTGGAAGAAAATGTACAAGGTGTGCCGCTGATTTAGAAAAGCAAGCCGAGCTCTTTTTCCAGACTTTAAGCTAAGCTAAGCTAGCTGGAGCTTCATATTTAAATGGACAGACATGTGTGGAACAACGTAACATTGGAAAATACATAAATGAGACGGACCAAGTATTTCGGTTATTTAACGTTCTTTTTTGTTGTTGAAATGTAACAAATAACCTTAAAGTCTGAGTACTTGATTCAACTTGAAGGTAGTCTTTGCCACAAAAGTTATCAGGTGTGACACCAGGTACAAGACTACAGTGATGTCACCTTTTACTGCACTCGGCTCTTAAAGGTCACCTATTGTGCAAAATCCACTTTTTCATGTCTCTTCTACATCAACATGTGTCCCCTCTTCTTCATGTCTCTTCTACATCAACATGTGTCCCCTCTTCTTCATGTCTCTTCTACATCAACATGTGTCCCCTCTTCTCCATGTCTCTTCTACATCAACATGTGTCCCCTCTTCTTCATGTCTCTTCTACATCAACATGTGTCCGCTCTTTCCCATGTCTCTTCTACATCAACATGTGTCCCCTCTTCTCCATGTCTCTTCTACACAACATGTGTCCCCTCTTCTTCATGTCTCTTCTACATCAACTGTGTCCCCTCTTCTCCAGTCTCTTCTACATCAACTTGTGTCCCCTCTTCTTCATGTCTCTTCTACATCAGCATGTGTCCCCTCTTCTTCATGTCTCTTCTACATCAACATGTGTCCCCTCTTCTTCATGTCTCTTCTACATCAACATGTGGTCCCCTCTTCTTCATGTCTCTTCTACATCACATGTGTCCCCCTCTTCTCCATGTCTCTTCTACATCAACATGTGTCCCCTCTTCTTCATGTCTCTTCTACATCAACATGTGTCCGCTCTTCTCCATGTCTCTTCTACATCAACATGTGTCCCCTCTTCTCCATGTCTCTTCTACATCAACATGTGTCCCCTCTTCTTCATGTCTCTTCTACATCAACATGTGTCCCCTCTTCTCCATGTCTCTTCTACATCAACATGTGTCCCCTCTTCTTCATGTCTCTTCTAAATCAACATGTGTCCCCTCTTCTTCATGTCTCTTCTACATCAACATGTGTCCCCTCTTCTTCATGTCTCTTC